AAGCATAGTCAAATTTCCTCGACTTGAGATTTAAAATTAACCGGTGACTTGGAACATCATAACAATTATCCCAAGTGGCGACTCTCAAATAAATAAATAATCTTATTTCGATTAATGTCACTTTAAGAAAAACTCCTTATCCCCTCGAGAAAAAGAAGGTGTGACAACTGCTTCTACTGGTATTCAAAAATACTTTTTATTTTGGTCAAATAATTCAAATTTTTCAAAAAGTACTTTTTAATTAAAAAATACTTTTAACTTCCTAGAAGATTGGTCAAATATGCTCTAAATGCCTTTTTTTTTTTATAGAAAAAACACGTTTTTAACGAAAAAGTACTTTTGACATCCTAAAAAATATTGTATGTATACCGAATGTAAACGTTGTGTGTAAACATATGATTAATTAGGTACAATATGTTGGGGGAAGTGCACAGTTAGCCACTAATAACACATGTATTTACTTTTAAGCCACTATTTAAAATATCTTTAGTCTTTAGCCACTGCTTTAATAAACCTTACCTGCCCGGACGAAAATACCCTTCTGCTCATAAAAGTTCAGGACCAAGTGTCCTTAATTTTTGAATTTGCAACTCTAAGTTGAGGACTTCAGTACTACATCTCCTTAACTTTTGAACTTGCAACTCTAAGTTCAGGACTTCGGGACTATATGTCCTTAACTTTTGAACTTGGAACTCGAAGTTCAGGATCACCTGTCCTTAATTTCCGTGCTTGTAACTCTAAGTTAAGGACTACTTTTCCTTAACTTTTGAACGTGTAAGTTCAGGACCTATTGTTCTTAACTTTTGAGCTTGTTAGTCTAAGTTCAGGACCAAGTGTCCTTAACTTTTGAACTTGTAACTGTAAGTTCAGGACCAAGTGTCCTTAACTTTTGAGCTTGTTAGTCTCAGTTCATGACCTATTGTCCTTAAATTTTGAGCTTGTTAGTCTAAGTTCAGGACCTATTATCCTTAACTTTTGGGTTTCTTAGTCTAAGTTAAGGACCTATTACCCTTAATTTTTGAGCTTGTTAGTCTAGGTTCAGGACTTGATGCCCTATTGTACTTAACTTTTGAACTTGTAACTGTAAGTTCAGGACCTATTGTCCTTAACTTTCATTTTGAAATTTAGGAAACTTCTGGTTCTTAAATTAAGATCTCTTGTTAACCTTATTTCTTTTTGTAATTGCTACTAATTAAAACTCTACTTTAGAGTCTGTTCTAGACCAAAGAAAACATAAACTACAAACCAAGTAGCAAACCAGATAGAAAAGCTTGAGATTTTTTAAGAGTGAAGTATCTCTCATTTGGTCGATGTTGAATTGTATAGTCTGTCACATAATCCCCAAGAAGAGAGAGAAAGAGAGAGGTAATTGGGTTGGCTAGTGAGATGAGCTCACCTGATCGATCTCGAGGAGGATAAAGGGAATAAAGAGCAAGGACTTTTGACACTGAAGCGAAGAAGATGTGCTGGGCCAAGGCGGGGTCAAGAGATAGAAGAAAGGGTAACACCATCTTTTCATATTAATTTTAATAGACCAGTGGCTAATTTTGCTCTGCATTAAAAATGCTGGATAAAAAGTAAATACCACTTTAAAAAGTGACTACCCCGCGCAATTTTTTACCAATATTTTCAGTTGGGCTTATTTTTGGATAAATCTCTCTAATAATTTTGCTCCCGTTTGGCCATAGGTTTTGACTTCATTTTTTCAAAAAATACTTAAAAAAATTATTTGTTTACAAAATATGATCATATTTTGGAATAAAAAAGTTTCAAATTCCCCCAAAACTGGTTTAGGATAATTTTTGAATAAATTTTTTTCTTATGTTCACAAAACTTAAACTTTTCTTCAAAAATTATTTTTCAAAACCACTTCAAAAACTATAGTAATATTTTTTAAATATATGTGCAAAGGCCATCTTTCCCCTCTCAAAATCCTCTCTCTTCACTTGTTCTTTCGGCTGCCAGATGCCAGGTGAATGCACCTAAGACTAAGGCTGCTCGGTGGGCCGGGCCTGGACCGGACCGG